GGGAGGGGGTAGAGATTTTTATGCTAGATCAGCCCCTGCAGGATGGATTCTGGCAACCTCCCCAAGGGAGAAATGGGGCTCCAGAGCCCCATTATCTTTCGAAAACCTGGACCTCCATAGTGATTGATATTCCTCATCTACTATTTTGATGAGCCCTAGGGACCCTCTTCATGTAGCTTTGTCCCCTGTAGCAGGGAAGTACCTACAGTGACCCTGCTGCCCTAGCCACCACCAGGCAGAACAACTCCAGAGCCTGTAGTATGGGAATCCCCAGTGACTGGCTCCCAGGTGGGGCCAAGCCCTCCCTGGGTCCTCTCGAGGTGTGCTGGGGCCTGGAGCTGCTGCTGGTTCTGTCAGTCCCTATGTTTCTCGCTTGGCCCTGGCCTGGGCTACTCTGCTTTTGCTCTTCTTTGTATAGTAAAGAGCCAACTGCTCTCAGCCCCAGTCTCTTGGGGAGCCTTTTGGGTTTCTTTTGTCTCTCTCCTGTCTTTTGCCCCATTGGTCTGTACTGGGGGCACTTGTACTGTGAATCAAGTGTTCACATTCACATTTAATAATTTCCTTGGCACCAATCATGTATTTCACCGTTCGCACTTTTTGTATTTCAATAAAAAAAAAATGAAGACCTGCTCTTCTCACTGCTAAGTTGAAGTCTTGAGAATGGAACAGTGGGTGTGGTATGCTTGTGAAATCAGAGGTGCGTTTCTCAGGAAGGTCTCTTCCCCAGTCCATCTGCCCCATCCTCATCTTGTTCACTTGTGAGTTAGTCAGGGCAGCTTGGAAGTGTTAACTGTCACTTTCCACTAGAACTTGGGCTTGAACTCAGGGGCTCACACTTTCTATTTTTTTTTTTTTTTTTTGTCCATCATGGGGCCAGAGCTCTGGGCCTGAGCACTTTCCCTCAGCTCTTCAGCTCAAGGCTAGCACCCTACCACTTGAGCCAAAGCGCCACTTCCAGCTTTTTTTTTGCTTATGTGGTGCTGAGGAATCGAACCAGGGCCTCATGCATGCAAGGCAAGCACTCTACCACTGAGCCACCTTCCCAGGGGCTCACACTTTCTTCGCTTGCTTAGTCACCTATAGCTGGTGTTCTACCCCTTAATCCAATGCCTCCAGCCCTGCCTTTTTGCCTGTTGTTTTTGGAGATGGAGTCTCAAGGATTTTTATCTGTCCAGGCTAGCTTCTACTCCAAGTCTCAGCCTTGTGAGTAGCTAGGATTACAGGTGTGAGCAACTAGTGCCCAGCTCATCTTCCACTTTTTGCACCTGTAGCAACCTGAGGGGTAAGGCTTCCCACCTGGCTGCATGGAGGCTGCGAAAAATCCAGTTTTCCTTCTTTTAAGCAGATTGTGCTTTAAAGGTTTAGATGGTAAGTTTTGGGTTCAAGCTCTAGCTCAATGGTAGAAAGCCTTCTTAGTATGTCTATGGCTCTGGGTCCAACCCCCAGCACAAAGGCAAGAGGGGGAAAAAGATGACCAATTTTTTTTTAGTCACTGGAGGATAGGAGAGCAGAATCTCACTTCGCAGTTGTCAAGGTTAACTTCGAGGTGCTTGCTGTCTATTGTAGTTAGGCAGTTCTAATGGCTCCAGCTGGCCCCTCTTCCCCGTTTGCTCGGGCTGGGGCAGCTCAGCTAGAGCACAGGTTCAGGCAAGGTTAAGATGGTGGTTGTATGCCGGGCGCTGGTGGCTCACGCCTGTAATCCTTGCTACTCAGGAGGCTGAGATCTGAGGATCGCGGTTCAAAGCCAGCCCGGGCAGGAGGGACCATGAGACTCCTATCTCCAATGAAACCACCAGAAAACCGGAAGTGGCGCTGTAGCTCAAGTGGTAGAGCGCTTGCCTTGAGCTGAAGAGCTGAGGGACAGCACCCAAGCCCAGAGTTCAAGCCCCACGGCTGACCAAAAAAAAAAAAAAGATGGAGGTTGTAAACACTGGCCCTGAGTGCCAGAAGTCTTCACTGTACAACTGGGGCCTGCAGCCAGGGACCTCAAGGCAAAAGATATTGGCAATCTCACTAGCTCTGCAAGCTGTAAGCTGGGTGAGTAGAGCATCAAAGCAATCGCACAGGGAAATAGGAGAGGGGAGCCAGAGAAATGGGGAGCTGTGTACTCAAATTAGGTTCCTGGCTTGGTTTCTGCTGAGTTAAAGTGTCAGCTCACCAAAGCCTTAGCAATAGTAGGTCTCTGGAGCGAAGCAGTGAGGCAACTGAGCACTCTGCTTTTGGACGTGAGGGTCATTTGGGACAACCCACTATTTCCCACCTAGGGTTTGAGGCAACTGTCCAGCCAAGGAGCACCAAAAGCCCTGGAAGGCAAGAGTGAGTTTAGCTCTGTTTCTTCAGTCCAAGGTTTGGTCTAAATTCAGAATTTTCTGATCAGCTTATTTTTGTGCTGGAGCTTGACTTCAGTATGAAACAGTGTAAGGGACAACCCAGACAGCAGTTGTGTGGTGCTGGTCAAGTAGAGTGACATGTACCAACGTGCATTTCAGGCTCATTGGCTCTACTTTCAGTTCCTATCACCACCAAAAATGAGGCACAAACCAGGAGAAAGGGCCAGCTTTTGATAGACTGGAGGTGCCTGTAGCTCCTGGGGCCAGGAAGGCCTATCCCTGCTGGCCCTTCTACCCTTCCTAGCTCCCAGAGTCCCCAGGGCAGCAAAACAAACCTGTGCAAGTTCCTGACTTCCTGCCACTTCAGTTCCCTTCCTTTCCCTGTGTTTGCTTGATCACAACCCTCTCACTATATTAGCAATTGCTCTGATGTCTTCTGCCTGAAACATTGCAAGGGTCTGCCACTGGTATCTTCACAAATAGGGACCATCTACCGCAAGCCTGGTAGTGAGCACATTGTATAAAGGGAATAGAGTTGACAATGGCCAACCTCTCAGGGAGATTTTGCTACAAGTTTACCTCATATATACCATTTCATTCACTATTCAAATGTATGACCCTGCCATGTATAAAGAAAATGAAGGTCTGGGAACATGGCTGAGTGGTAGAGTGCTTACCTAGCTAGCATGCACAAAGCCCTGGGTTTGATTCCTCAGTACCACATAAACAGAAAAAGCCCAAAGTGGAACTGTGGCTCAAGTGGTAGAGCACTAGCCTTGAGCAAAAGAAGCTCTGGGTCAGTGCCCCAGGCCCTGAGTTCAAGCCCCATGACTGGCAAAAAGAAAAAAAAAAAGGCTTTCTAGAAGCTTCCTGACAGCCCAAGGCTACCTGTGTTCAGCGGTCAAGCTCCAAGGCCTTTTTGCACTATAAAAATCCCCCATGTTTCCTTTTGCATGGAGCCTGCTGGTGACCCAGACATGCAGAGAGGCAGAAGGCAATTTGTAGAGGAGTTGTAGAGAAAAAAAACTTTTTATTGGAAATCTCTTAGATACATTTTAAAGTGTAGCTAAGTTGGAGTACATTGAAGGAGGGCCTCTGACACCCCGAAGCTGATGACTGGTCCCAGTCCGTGCCCAGGGGGCTGCAGGAGTCAAGTCTAGAGCTCATTCTTTCCATTGTGTGGGGCTGAGGGGCAAGGGCCACCTTACTGGTTGCCTTGCTTCTCCCAGGATCAGTGAGGTCTCAGCCTTCCTGAGCCAAGTCTTGGAGAAAGGCTGCACCCTGCAAAGGCTTACACCAAAGGTATCAGACTGTCTTGGCCCAGAGGTAACAGGCCTTCCATGCAAGGTCTGAGACTGCAGCAGCTGAGATGAGGGCTTTAGTCACTTACTAGGCCCTTCCTCAGCACTAGTCCAGGGACCAAATCTGATTGGTTCAGCTGGCCATGGATGTGTCCTGGCCCAAAGACCGGAGGGCTAGCTGGTCACCAATGCTGGCAGCAGACATATGCACAGGGTTCCCCTCTAGAGCGCACTCCGGACTTCAGAAGTCAGCCTTGTACAGGTGGGAACAGCTTTACATGCAGTTCATGAACAAGCATTGAGAGGCACCGGTTCCACAAAGCCTCAGCTACTGCCAAGGAGTACCAAGGGCCCAGGAGGAATGGGGCAGGCTGGTTCTTCTTGCCCAGCTGCCAGTCAGGCTGGAGAGGGCAGATGGTGAGGCACTTGACTTACTCAAGTAATAATACCTGAAAGGTTAAGTCAATCACATGCCCAGCTTTGGTTTCTCAACAGGGAACCATATCCAGCTCATAAACCCAGGGCAGTATACTATTAACAAACCGTGGGATTAAAGAGAGGTGGTGACCAGGCCCAAGCAGGAGGAAAAGCTCCATAGTCCAGCCCCCAAGGATCAGGAGCTCCAGAAGGAGGACACACACAATGCCACTGAGGCATGGCATATATGCAACTCTAAGGAGTCATCACATTTAGCACCCCGAGACTTCCTGGCTGCCAGAATGGAGGCTGAGACTGAGGGCAATGACAGTGCTCACCAGGAGTCTGCGGGTGTGCAAGGGAAAGCCTGCTGTCAGCTCAATGCAGTTTTAGGAGGGTTAGTTGGCCCTTGCCAGCCCTTTTATTGGATCTCACCTTCAATGCAATGGCAAGGAAGATCTCCAAGCAGCATCCCAGATCCTGAGGAACCTCCACAGGAGGCCTCTGTCCCAGGGATAGGCCTGAGCCTTCCCCGAGTGAAATATCTAACCTCAAACATATTTTCTCTATAAAATATCTGATTTCTCTGAAGTAATAAATATTTACCATGTCCTCTAACCAAGGAGCAGCAATGTGTGTGGGGGGGGTGGGGGTGTGATATTTGCTGTGGTTTTCAGTAATAGCATCTTACACAAAGTTTGGGGTTTTCCCATGGAGCTGAGGGCCTGAATACCTGCAACTACCAGGGCAGATAAGACTTCTGGTTAGGGACAGAACAACCTTGCAGAAGGGTGGTGGGCTTTGGAGTTTGTGTCATTTTGGGCAGAAAGGCCTGTCATATTGCCAAGAGTACATGTGAGATGGAGAGAAAGGGAGGGGGGGAGAGAGAGAGGGATATTGGTGGGGGGGGAGGGGAACCCAAGAATTAAAGGAGATACCTAGAGAGCCTCCTTCCTCCCCAACATGTTCTCCTTCTTTCTGCCTTGCCCCAGCCTGTGGGCCACTAGCTGGAATGTCAAATGGTTGATGGTAAGAGCAGGCAGGCAAGGGGACCAGCCAGCTTCAGGGCAGCCCTAGGTAGGAGGCTGGAGCAACAGAAACTAGGTGACATCCTTTGTGAAACAACTGATAATGACCGGTGGAACGTGGGTGGGTGGTTCTGCTGAGGCCCATTAACCCAGGTCTAGCTGAAAGGCCTGGAGGCAAGCCCTTCTACCCGCAGTTACTAGGCTTCACTGCCACCATGGAGTCTCAGGATGGTCCAAGAGCAGAGGCTTCTGGGTCCCCCTGGGGAACCATTCTGGAAGCAGCATGAGGGAAGGGAGTAACTGAGGAGTGAGGGGCTCTCAGCCCCCTGGGACCACAGGGATGCTGCTGGTACTCAGGACATTTTTTTACTGCAGGGTTTCTACAAAGGCATCAAATTCGCGGACGTTCTTCTCATGCACAGCCAGCCTCTCTGGTAGTGAATCCTGTACCAGAAGAAGAGAAGAAGGGCTTAGTCAGGCCTGGGAGAGGCACCAGTCAGTCCCTGAGAGCAAGGAAGAGAGTAAGACAAAAAGTGTTGTTGAGCAGTGCTAGCTTAGCAGAAGGCAGGATGGCAGGGCGGCCATCGGGATGGGGTAGTGGACATGTCCTCAGGGATTTGTGGAGTCTGTAGGGCCACACACTCTATAAAGGTAAAACAGGCTAAGAACTGCAAAATTAAACACAAACAGTGGTTGGCACAGATCACCAACAGTAGGATGAAATTGCAAGTTCAGAGCACCATGGCTCAAGTCAAGTTTAAGAAAGCTTTTTCATGCCTTTTCTGAGCATAAAGTGCCCTGGAAGAAAAGGGACAAAGTAGCCATTGCAGCCCCTAGACTGATGTGGCAGGTCTGTGAGAGGCCTGGCACCAATACCTTCACACTGGCCAACTGAGGCTGAGGGGTCAGTAGCAAAGAGAAGCAAAGGAAAACAGCTGTGACACACTAGCCTGCTGTCATATCCAGCTATGGATAAAGCTCTCACTCTACTGAAGTAGTTGGTCACCATTAGGACTAAGCAACAGAAAGCAATCTGTAGGGTTCAACCACCTCAGGGAGATCTACTTATGGTGGAGTTATGCATAAGGGACTTGGGAGAAGGTGGAAACTCTAGCATTAGATCCTCCAGTAGGCCACAACCCTGACAGCAGCGGTGGGTCTGGTCACAGCTGCCGGGTAGACCTGGGAAGCAGCTAGCACTGGCTGTGATCACACAGAGAGTACTGGGACCTAGGTTCTTTCAGCACACAGGTCACATGAGATTGGTGATTGGTGGTCAGATTGCCAAGCTCAGAAAGGCAGGCCATCTGGGGTCAAAACTATTTTGCCTGGTTCTATGATCTTGGCAAGTTAATCACAGAGTTTTTTTCTTCTGTTAATTGGAATAATAAAATCCATGGGTTTTTTTGCTGCTGAAAAGTCATATTAAAACCCAATAAAAATGCTTGTCAGGGGCTGGAAATGCAACTCAGTGACTGACAGCCTGGGCATGTGCCCAGCTCATGGTCAACTCCTAGCTCCATGAAAGAGGGGTGGGGAGAGAGAGAGAAGGAGGAAGGAAGGAAGGAAGGAAGGAAGGAAGGAAGGCAGGCAGGCAGGAAAGGAGGAAGGGGAGGGAGGGAGGGAGGGAGGGAGAGAGAGAAGGAAGAAAAAAGGAAAGGAAGAGGAAGAGCCGAAGAAAGGCCTGGTGCTTAGACAGCCCTGGTAACTGTAAAGAATAATTAGTAGTAGTATTTCTCTTTCGTTACTATGAAGGAGGGTTTTCTGTTAAATCAAATCAAGGGCAGCTCCTCTGAAGGCCTCTAATTTCTGTAATAGTGAGAGTCCCACCTCAGACAGGGGGACCTTGCAGACAAGACAACCCAATCTGTCATATGACTTGATCACTAGGTGAGGAGGATGTCGGGATAAATTCCATCAAGCAGTCATCCCCACAGTGCACTGATGTCCACAAGTGACTCTCCTGTGCCAGGTCAGACCAGGTTAGTGACTTGTGCAAGCCACTCTTTTGCTTGCCTCTCTGAGGCAGGAAGTAGGCAATACTCTAAGCAGACATGTGGTAATAAAATCCATCTTAGAATGCTTGGCCAGGCATGAGAACGGCTTGATGCAGGAGGGAGCTCTCCGAGGAAAGCAAGATCACTGGTCTTCAGGACCCACATGCTCCTGTGCCCTGCACCATGGTCTGCCTGGTAGAAGATGGGTATGGCCAGAGTGTGCAAGTTACAGTAACACAGAGAATATGTAGTGCAAACGAAAACTGAGCTCAAGCAAATCTAAGAAAACAATTAGTGAGTACCACTGGTGTATCTCAAGATTTGTTCCTAAAGTAAAACAAGGACAATGAAGACAGAGCGGTAGGGAGAACAGAAAGCAAGTTCTAGGTCTACAGTACGGGAGGAAAGACCATCAGTGAGGAAGCGGACCTGGGTGGGGAGGGGGAGGGAGGAAGTCCATACCAAGTCTTCAGCCATGGACTGGGCTCCAATATCTATGGAAAGGCTGCTCAGCTGAGGAGGGTTCTGAAATTCACGATAGAAAGTCCCCAAGTCCATTGGAAGAATGTCATCTTTAGAAAAAGCAGGTTTCTTCAAAACAAAACAAAAAGAGTGTATGTATACACACACACACAGACACACACAGACACACAGACACACAGACACACAGACACACAGACACACACACACACACACACGGATTTGAATTAGCTTGCCTTGGTTTACAAAGAAAAATCAGAGGAGATAAGCTATGAACAAAGAAAAGCTTCTTCCAGACTTATCTGAGGGAGAATGTCTAATCCGGGTCCCTCCCTGGCTAAGTTCATGTCCTCTTCAATTCCTTCCCTGAATCAAGGGCCATCCACTAGGCATGAATAGGACTTTTAAGTGGATACCTCTTGACCCCAGTTAGATTTTATTATGAATTTCACCCAAGGCATGGCATAATACCTTACTACTCATGGGCCTTTGTCTCCCCAGACATCTACCGCCCTATCCCATCTTTACTGATGATCCCTGGGAAAGATCTTGTTCAAGTGCAATAAATGCACGGGGGTTTGCTTGTCCTAGAACAGCACAGGTGGAGGGAGGGGAAGGCCACTTACGAAGTCAATCATCACAAAGTCATCATGCGCATTGCCACTGCTGCCTCCACTGGAGCCATTGGAGTGCAGGCTGCCGTGGAGAGGAGATGCTGTCTCTGGGGACTCGGGAGGATTTACCTGGTTCAAAATAAGGCAGAGTCAGGGCTAAGTCTGTGAACTGGACCCACATCACTATGAGCCAACTGAGAAGTTTGTGTAAGAAACTTAGTGCTGGCTGTAGATGCAGTAGCCAAGGGGCCTAGCTTGCGGTCTGTGGAGGCCCAACCAGGATAGTGACTACTGCACCATCTACTGGAAACTGGCAGTCACAGGTGGGCTCACCATAGGATCGGCATCTTCCAGCTCCAAATTCTTGGGAGCAAACATGGCAAAAGGTATGTCCAAACTTGTCAAGGTCACCTGAAGAGACAGGAGAGAAGCATTCGTGCCGGCCCCTCCCCTGGCTCATGCTTACAGGCTGTCAGAAGTCAGCAGAACAGCAAGTAGCTGACCCCACAACCTCCTTGTCTCCCTGTCCCCCATATCACATAAGCCCACAGAAGAGAACCCTGAGAATTCAGCTGGGTTAAGTTTGAGCCACACCAATGCTGTGTCACTGGGCCTACAGAAGAGGAACTTCTATCCTAAAGTAAGGCAGTTTGTGAACTAAATAGTGTCCAGCCTGTCTCCCTAGGGGTTGTCGAAAGTTCTTAGTCTTCTTCACAGTAAAACTTACACACTTAGACACACACACTCTTGCAAGCATTTTCAGTAGTTCCATAAGATGCTGCCCATAGAGCCTTACTCTAAGGACATTCTCACAGGTGGCAGTGGCAGAGTCACCTGGTTGATGGGTTTGTTGACAAAGGCTCCCACTTTTCGGACAAAGATGGTTTCTAGGACATCATGTGGGGAGGCCCGTCCCTCGCTGCTGTTAGATACAGTTTCAGCATCCTCACTAGGGAAGAAAGGGACAGTGAGTGCTCAATTCTAAAGCCACAGCACAATGACTTGGTTTCTCCACTACGTCCACCCTCTTGTGGGACTGTGGCCTGAGCAGGCTTCAGGTCCCACCACCCATGTAGGACATAGCACCATGTGGTTGGGCTGCTGCCAGTGTCCCCTGCCTCATGAGCTGACAGGAGACTGTACTTGCTGGGAACAACTAAAACTTATGCACATGATGAAACTTCTCATTACAAAAAGCTGAACTGAAACACTAATAATGTACATCGCTTAGCAGGCACAGAGAAGTCAGACACAGGACAACAACTCTAATACACTGCCAGTTCAGTATTACAGAACGAAGCCCCACATTTTAGATTTTCTTCTTGTTCTATACAGAAGATTCCATATATATATATATATATATATTTTTTTTTTTTTTTTTGGTCGGTTGTGGGGCTTTGAACTCTGGGCCTGGGGGCTGTCCTTCAGCTTTTCAGCTCAAGGCTAGCACTCTATTGAGCCACAGTACCACTTGCAGTTTTCTGAATGGTTTACTGGAGATAAGAGTCTCACTGCCTTTTCTGCCCAGCTGGCTTTGAACCATGATCCTCAGATCTCAGCCTCCTGAGTAGCTAGGATTACGGGAATGAGCCACCAGTGCCTGAGTAGAAGACTGTATATTTTATAAATTAAATTCAAGTCTACCACATGAAGTGTCCAGTTAAAGTCAATAGTCCCACATTTGAGGCCTTAGCCAGACAGAGCTCTCTCCATCCTTGGTGAACTGCCTGGGTCCAAATTTCTACATTCTTGCTCATGTTTTCTCTCTCCACGCCCCTGCCCTGTGTCAATTATCCCTTCTGGACTGATGCTCAGTCCTGTATGTCACAGTGGCTCTGAGCAGCAGAAACTGGGCTGCCAGTGGTTGCCACCCAGCGGTAACAGAAGGCTCTAGCCTCTGGCCAAAAAAGCGGGCTCAAGGTGAATAGGACTACATAAGGTGATCTCCTGAAATCCAGGTAGCAGGGGGACCAGCATGAAGGTAAGGTTTCTAAGCGATTAAAACCTTTAGCTCAGAACCCCTATCCAGGGTCCTTGGTCTCTAGCTACTTTTAGACATGACCCTGGCTCAAAATGGGATTGTAAAATGACTAACATTTTCCTTTAAATAAGGACAAAAATGGAAATTTGAAAAACCAAAAATGGAATCTTCTTCCTAATGACATACAAACACAAAAGTCTCCCCAAGCAATTCTGCTCTTACCACTTCACTGTGGGAAACAAACAAAAATTTCTACAATGAGAATTTTCTATTAGGATGTGTGTGTGGGGGGGGTGGCACCCATTATCTCCAGTGCCTTCCAAGGGGAGAAGAGGCGCAGAGCAGGACAGCTTGCAGCACATTCCCAAGGGAGGAACACAGCTATGCAGTCAGGCTGCACTAGGTGACCTTGGGCAAAATCAGTGAGCCCTCCTGAGGCTATTATTCATTCATTTACTCATTCATTCATTCACAGTGCTGGAATGAAACCAGATCTCATGTGAACTAGGCAAGGACTCTACCATTCAGCTATACTACACCCCTCTCATCTTGAAAAAGGAGGTAGCAGTGGTCATTTTTTTCTTTGGGTGTGTGTGTGGGGGGGTACTATGGTTTGAAGTCAGGGCCTTGAGCTTACTAGGCATGGACTATACCAGATTATACTGCTGACCCATGCCTCCAGTCCCAAAGAAGTGATTTTTGATAGTGAAAATGTGAGAATTTTTACTTGCAAATTATGGTCTTCATCACTTACATTTTATAGACTGTTATCACTTCAGTGATCTGAGAGGACAATGGTATAATTTCTTCCTTTGTCCTGGGGTTTGAACTCAGGGCCTGGGCACTGTCCCTGAGCTTCTTTTGCTCAAGGCAAACACTCTCCACTTGAGCCACAGCACCACTTCTGGCTTTTTCTGTTTTTTTTTTTTTTTTCTCTGTGATACTGAGAAATCGAACCCAGGGCTTCATGCATGCTAGGCAAGCACTCTACCACTAAGCTACATTCTCAGCCTATCCTCACTGGCTTTGACAGTGCAGAGCCACAATGGAGACTCACCTGCTGGAAGGGGTAACCGCACAGTGGATCCCATCGGAAGGTGTGTGAGTTGCCAATCTTTCCTGGTCAGCCTGGGCGCCATGAGTAGGCTGGGTGGGAGCAAGGGGTACCCCACCTTCCTTCCCTGGAACCATGAGCTTTGGGGGAAATGGAAAGATACAGTGAACCACTGCCACAGGGAAACCTCACGTCCTAGCTTGTTAGTGTCTGCTTTCGAGCTTTCCATCACAGTGCCACCACCTGGCGGGCAGACATCCTGGATCTTTCTGCTCTGGAATGTGGCTACTAGAAGACATGCATGGTAATGACTACAAAGGGAGAAGCAAAGAGGAAGAAAAACCCCAGGAAAATCATCTTTCCTTTTTGAAGATGGTTCCTTCCTCTCAGAGTCACTTCTGTCATCCAAAGAGCCTTGTTTCCAAACAGTATACTACAGGTATCTAAAGAAGTCCCTTAACCGCTCCAGGGCAGGGAGGCAGCCCTGGAAAGCCCAAGGTCCTCCCCATCTTTAAGGTACCTGATGAGGGTGTGGAGCATTTAAGCCAGCAGCAAACACTACCGGATAAGCCAGGTCAGCTGATCCAAGGCCCAGGACTGCAGGCTGATAGGAAAGGCGAGAGCTTGAAAGCTGAGCAAGAAAAAAACAGGGGGCAGAGGAAAGGCAGGAAAAAATAGGCAATCCTAGTGTGACATGATGGAGCTCTGCAGAAATGTAAGGAATGAGTCCAGGCCCACAGGTCTGTAGCACAGGAGCCTGGTGCAATATATGACAAGGTAGGCCAGGCTTTTTAGACATCTCTTGGATAAGAAAACAAGAGGCTTGCTTGTACTGGGATAGGGATTCCCAGTCTGGAGCCTCCCAAAGGCCTCAAATGAGCTCCTTGCTTCCCTGTTCCCAGGGGCTCAGCTTCTGTTTTGAGCCCAGCAGATCCCCAGGGAAAGACCCAGGGCCAAACTTGGAGCCAAAGTCATCAGTTTTTCCAAAGTCATTCTATTTTCTCCTTTGTCCTTGAGGTCCCTTTGAAATAGAAGGCCATCATCTCTAATCACACCCTCTATCACCCCTGGGTATGGAAGGGTTCCTATTTATATTGAAAAAGAATAAGAACACCAGTCTTGTTTATTTGAAAATCTGATATAAATAACTCCATGTATTTTTCACATCAACGGAAGGAGGAGGGGCAAATGAATCCCCTATTTTGGGCTGCTGGCCTGTGGCTGGCCTGTTAAAATCAATTACGGAGCCTCAAAATAATCCCTCAGGGTACTTGGGGACATTTAAATAACTATCCATTTTGCTCTGTCTCCATTTTTTTAAAGAGAAGGAAGCCATCTGATCATTCCCCTTCTACCCATTATGAACTCACATGATGGGCAAAGGCCAGTCCTGCCATGGGGACCCTCAGAGCGTCCGTCACCACAGGAGTAGGGGTCTGAAAATGTGCCTTTGTGACAGTAAACACACACTGTGCAAAGACACACACAGAGACAGGAGAAACAAGAGAAGAAAAGAGAAAAGGGCCTTGAGAAAGAAATGAAACACCAGCAGGGCGGCAGTGAGAGGCTAGAGAGACAGTGCTAACTTAGGAGTGTGGCAAGGGGAACAATGCATACTGGCTTCCCAAAGGGACAACTTTGGGAAGCTGGGTCCCTGGAAGTGACATTTATCCCAGCATGGGTCCTCCATCCTGCCCCCCAGACAAGCAGCTGAAAACTCAAGTTGACTCAAGTGGGTAGGATCTGGCAAAACAGAGACATCTGAATCATTCATTAGTCTGTCTTTTGTCAAAAACTGGGTGGGAGGAAGCCATTGAACAGCTTCCAGGAGGAAGGACCTGAGTGCAGGTGCAAGGTAAACCCAAGAGGAATGAAAATGCTGGGATTGTTACATTACACAGCAAGCCTTTTCAGGGGCCCACAATGTGCAGGTGGACACTTTCCTACATGGTGCCAGGAAAGATGAGAGGTGTGCAGAGTACGTGCGCGTGGGCATGCAACTGTATTCCTAGAGTCTTACAATATGGGAGAACTTGCAAGTAAAAAATCCCTCCAAAAAAGTCAACATTTCAAAGCAACTTATGAACATGATGATTATTGGAAGTATGGCTGCTTCAGCTTTAAATCTGACCAATTAGCTAATCAATGCTTAGAATCAGATGAAGACTGTAGGACATACTAGCAAGTTCAGGGTCACAACTATTTCATGCCTGTATCTGATTGACACAATGATCCTTATTTTGTGGGCAAATCAAACAACATTGTTAAACATGTATTTCCTGGATTCCAGCAAAGGCTGAGTAGAAGTTGTTAAATAACTACGTAACTCCGGCTGGGAAGGTGGTTCAGTGGTAGAACGCTTGCCTTGCATGACTGAGGCCCTGGGTTCAATTCCTCAGCACCACATAAGCAAAAAGAAAAAAGCAGGAAGTGGCGCTGTGGCTCAAGTGGTAGATCACTAGCCTTGAGCTGAAAGACAACGCCCAGGCCCAGAGTTCAGGCCCCAAGACAAGACCCAAAAAAAAAACAAAAACAAAAACAAAGGATTATACTAAGGAAGAAAGTTAATAGCAACAGGAAATGAGAACTGTTAGAAAAGGCGTATTTTCTGTACCAAACTCTACCAGCCTTGATCAGAGCTACTCAATGCTTACTATTGAAGTGCATATTGTTGATGAAATCTTGCCATGATCTAGTTCGTGTTTTATTTTTTTGCTTTTTATTGTTTTTGTTTTTGCAGTGCTAGGGATCAAACTCAGTGTCTCAAACATGCTCTATTCACTAAGACACCCCGGCCCCTATATATGATTTGGTTTTGTTTTGGTGGTACTGGAGTTTGAACTCAGGGCTTTAGCAAGCACTCTACCTATAACTTCATTCCTTTTTGTTTTAGTTCTTTTTGTAATAGGATCTTCAAGTTTAAGTAAAGGTCAGCCTGGACCATGATTCTGGACCCATGTAAGGTCTCTCAAACTTTTTTTCCTGGGCTGATCTCAATCCACAATCCTTGAGACCTTGCCTCATGAGTAACTATTATTACAGTATGAGCCACTGCGGCTGAGCCATGATTTAGTTTTTTTGTTTTTTGTTTTGGGTCCGGTCGTGAGGCCTGAATTCTGGGCCTGGGCGCTATCCCTCAGCTCTTCAGCTCAAGGCTAGCGCTCTACCGCTTGAACCACAGCTTCACTTCCGGCTTTTTTCTTTTTGCTTATGTGGTGCTGAGGAATCAAACCCAGGGCCTCAGGCATGCAACGCAAGTGCACTACCACTGAGCCACCTTCCCAGCCCCCATGATTTAGTTTTAAACCATAACGACACAACTGGCAATGGATATAATGAGAAAGACTCTCTTTATATATACCAACAGACTTATGTAACCATCAGGTATAGAAGCTATTTAACATGCATTCTAACTTTGGGGCTAAATTGTTATGGCCAAGCCTTACCATCCCTCATAGCTCCTGAACCACAATTGCATTTGTTTATGAACCTATCATTTACAAAACAAAACTGTTTAATTAACTCAAATTTGATATACGCACATTCTGGTTGGCTAACCTCTCCCCCAAAAGCAAATAAACAAACAGACAAGATACTTTCCATTCATGCACTGGTAAGAAAATGAGCCTTAGGCCTCAGTGTACACCTGTAATCTCAGTTACTTGGGAGGCAGATACTAGAGGAATGAAGTCAGTGTCAGCCCAGACAAAAAGTTAGCAGAACCTAACTCAATCCCAGTTAAGCCAAGTGTGATGGTTTATATCTGTACCCCAGATTCTGTGGGGCATAGGCTGGTTCACAGTCTGAGGCCAACTAGGGCAAAGATGGGAGACTAATAGAAAAATAACTAAAGCTAAAGAGGGCTGGAGTGTGGCTCCCATGGTAGAATACTTGCCTAGCAAGCACAAGATCCTGAATTGAAACTCCCCATTTTTTCACACATCTTTATTTTTACCAGTAAGCTATGCTGCTGCTCATGTCCACATATATTCATGAGGGGAGAGGCTCAACCCTCCCCTCCCAAACCAAAGTATCTGGACCACCTGAGAATAAAAATCTCTTCTACCGTAGCTGTTTCTTGTGGGTTGCAAATTTTAAGGCCAGCTTGTGCTATGCAATAAGACCCTGTCTCAAAAAATAGAATTGTGAGCGCCAGTGGCTCTTGCCTGTAATCCTAGCTACTCAGGAGGCTGAGATCTGAGGATCGTGGTTCAAAGCCAGCCTGGGTAGGAAAGTCCATGAACCTCATCTCCAATAAACCACCAGAAAAATGGAAAGGGCACTGTAGCTCAAATGATAGAGCGCTTGCCTTTAGCTGAAGAGCTGAGGACAGCACTCAGGCCCAGAGTTCAAGCCCCATGACCACCACCAACAACAAAAATAGAATTTTGTGTGTGTGTGTATGTGTGTGTGCGTGTGTGCGTGCACACATGTGAGTGCATGCACATACATGCTTACTGGGGATTGAACCAAGGCCCTCCCACAGGCAAGGCACATGCTCTACCACTGAACCACCTCCAGCCTTAGCACAAGCCTCCTTTTTAGGACAGATAAGAGTGATCCATGGATTTTGCAATCTTATTCACAGATAATTAGCTTGTTTTTGGAACACCCTAGAATACAACCAAGGAGATGTATTTTTTAATTTTCATAACTAAAATAATATAACAAATGAAAAGTTACGATGAGCTAATGAATTTGTTGTATCCACTAAATAAGGCAGTCAAGGTAATCATCTGGACTGGGTAGGTGTGGAAGAAAAGAAAGCCTAAGGGAAGAGGCTAATGGGTATATTGGGAAGAGTCTGCCCAAGGAGGCAGAAGATAAAGGACTGGGGTGAAGGGTAAGCAAGGCTGTTCTGAGGACCCAGCTCAATCCCAGTCCATTACACATGCTTCCCCCTGGGAAGCTGAGGCCATCAGGAGCCTGTGTCTTACTGAAGTTGCCTGGGCTTACCACTAAAGGCTGACTCAAGTGGGAAATTTAATGACTGAAATGTTTGTGCCAATTATTAAGAATTGACATTATTGCTTTCTTACTGGCATTTTATTTAGTATAAAAGAGCTCTTTTAGAAATAAAACTTATTAATTCAAAAGAGAACTATATTAACAAGTGTATGTGAGAGTAGAGTATTTCGCTGGCATGAGAATGCACTTGGAATTCTGTGACTTGTTTTCTAGGGAAATTGAAGATGATACTGGGAAGGGAAGGCAAAGGCTACATGTAATACTGTGGGTTTTAGAATGGTTAGACTAGAAACGCTGCATACTTACCTTCCAGGTAAGGCTTTCTGTCACTGCTCAACCCTTTCCAAGCATTCGCCATCAATAATAGGAACACCACAACATAAGCCCACACCAAGTAAGTGCCACCATCTCAGAGCTGTTTCTCCTTACCTGGGAGGGAGGGGATGTGGAAAAAGAGGTGGTACACACTTCTTGAGAGTCTTCCACTGATGGATATGTTACTCCAGCATCCTCACCTGCAGTTCTAAATTGAAGAAAATGAAACAATGAATTTTAAGGTAATGGCATTAACATCAGAAAATATATAATAGTGGTTAAATAAGGCTGGGGAGTTATATCAAGAATTGTTTCAGGCAGAGTTCAGAACGCCAGATTGGAAAACCAATCAATTTTCTTAGAATATTCCATAAACTACAGGTACTCTGTAGTCTTCAAGTAACTTGCTACAAAGGAAAGTCATATCTCTACCACCAAAACCCAAATGCCCCAGAATTTTGAAACATTCTGTGAACCAGAACCAGACAACAGCAGTAAGGGAAGCTAAGCTCTTCCCTTCTATTTATGAGGCAAGTAGCCATTTTTGCCTGGCTGCAGGTTGAGAGAGTGCCTTTCACATTCCTCACCTGTAATTGCAGGGGTGCATGGGAGAGGAGCTAGGATAGGGACGGTCCACAAAGTGATCAATGATAATCCCCATGATAGGTGGGGTTCTCTCAAATTGCCTGTAATGCAATAAGAAAATTGCAATATTTGTTAAAATTCCTTCCCAGCCCCCATGAAGTCTTCAGAGGACCCTTCACATTTAGCAGGCAACACTGCCTTAACTAATGCAATCTCTAAATACAGACCATAAACTCTACATTCCCAATAAGCTGGCTCTGGGACACTCAAATTCTCCAATCTGACAACTATGTACTCACTCACTCACTTGCTCTCATTCTTTCACACTCTCTATTTCATTCTTCTGAAGGTGTTCTTTAGCAAAGCTGAATGGTAAATTAATCTGAGCTCCCAGGAAGGCAGGAGCTTTATCATCATGGAAGAGATCAAAGGGCCCTCCCTCACCTGGTAGACATGAATGCCAAGTTAATTCTGTAAGCACAAGAAAGAGTGATGGTACCAACAGGAGTACCCACTGTCCCAACACGAACCGTCTGGAAGCCTAGAAGAAGAGACAAATTATTAGCTTTTGTCCAGAGAATACCATGGACTCTTTACAGTCTATTGTACAGTTTCCCACTTAGTACTTTAAATGCCATAGTCGTGTGTGTGTGTGTGTGAGTGTGTGTGTGAGTGTGTGTGTGTTTCCCTTTCAATTTGCTCTATAAGGAGTGAATATAGCAGAGAAAAATAGCACTGTACTTCCAGGTAAAACTACCTGAGCTAAGAGCTAAAAAAAGAAAGTTGAGTTCTTAGAATTTCTAGAAAATAACTCAGTTAATGTGATGGCTTCTTAGACCACTTATCTTTTCTTTACTTTGTTACCAGCTATGTATCATTGCAGGTAGCAACCAAGCCCATCTCTGAAGTTAGGAATGCTCTTTCCTTTTTCTTTCTTTTTTTTTCTGGCGGTCAAAGGGCTTGAACTCTGGGCCTGGGCACTGTCCCTCAGCTCTTCAGCTCAAGGTGAGCCCTCTACCACTTGAGCCACAGTGCCACTTACGATTTTCTGGTGGTTAACTGGAGATAAAAGTCTCACAGACTTTTCCTGTCCAAGCTGGCTTTGAACCACAATCCTTAGATCTCAGCCTCCTGAGAAGCTAGGATTACAGGTGTGAGCCATTAGCACCCAGTTATTTATTTTTATTTTTTGCCAAGCATAGGGCTTGAACTCAGGGCCTGGGCACTGTCCCTGAGCTTCTTTTGCTCAAGGCTAATACTCTACCACTTGAGCCACTTCCAGCTTTTTCTGGTTATGTGGTACAGGGCTTCATGCATGGTAGGCAAGCCCTCTAACACTAAGCCATATTCCCAGCCCAAGAGTACTCTAAATACTGCAAATGTTTTCTGATCCAGACACATACCTTCTCCTAAGCCATTCAACTGAACTTCCCCAAAATATATCCTGTAGGGAAGAAAGAAAAAGAAATGTTACCTGCTTCTTTATTCTCAAAGCCTCTATAGACCAAATTCCTAGAAACAAGCCCATCTCTGCAGGAACATCTTGCCTGAAAGAGCAGTAATGCCACTAAGCACCTCAATTAAGCTACAGGCAAAAAGAAGAAGCATATAAAGGTATAAGACTAAGAAATAAGGAAAATAACAAGAGAAAACAGCAACTTTTTTCTTCCCTCTGCTACTACAATATGTATTATTTCCTAGTAGGTATGCCTATTATGAAATAAACAACATTAATAAAATTAGAAAATAATGCTGAGATTACTACTAGAAGGTCCTGGATTGTTTTTAAAAAAAATTTTTTTTGAGCCGGGTGCCGGTGGCTCACATCTGTAATCCTAGCTACTCAGGAGGCTGAGTTCTGAGGATCACCGTTCAAAGTCAGCCTGGGCAGGAAACTCTGTGAGACTCGTATCTCCAATAAGCCACTAGAAAACCAGAAGTGGTGCTGTGGCTCAAACGGTAGAGTGCTCGCCTTGAGCTGAAGGACAGCGCCCAAGCCCAGAGTTCAAGCCCCATGACCGACAAAAGAAAAAAATAAATTTTGAGACAGGTCTTGCTGCTCCAAGACAGGTCCAAGCTGGCTTTGAACTTGAGATCCTCCTACTTCAACCTGCCAAGTTTTGGAATTATAGACATATACCATCACATCTGAGTTATAAATAAATAAAACATGATTCCCAAAAGTCTTAGCTTTTTTTTTTTTGGGGGTCCGGTCGTAGGTCCTGAACTCTGGGCCTGGGCACTGTCCCTCAGCTCTTCAGCTCAAGGCTAGCGCTCTACCACTTCAGCCACAGCGCCACTTCCGGCTTTTTTTCTTTTTGCTTATGTGGTGCTGAGGAATTAAACCCAGGGCCTCAGGCATGCAAGGCAAGTGCTCTACCAGTAAGCCACCTTCCCAGCCCCAAACTCTATAGCTTTTTAAGGCCAGCTATGTTACCATAATTTAGATGTATATGCTTCACAAAAGGTTTTTGAAGTAAATATTCAGTTACTTAACATTTCTTAGCATTCTACATTTCAACTAAATGCAAATCTCTCTTACAAAGTCAACAAAAACTGATGATCAAGCCAGGCTCCGGTGACTCACGCTTATAATCCTAGCTACTCAGGAGGGTGAGATCTGAGAATCACAGTTCAAAGCCAGCCTGGGCAAGCAAGAAAGTCGGAGAGACTCTTATCTCCAATAAACCACTAGGAAACCTGAAGTGGCACTATGGCACAAGCGGCAGGGCACTCACTCTGAGCTGAAGAGCTGAGGGATAGCACCCAAGCCCAGAGTTCAAGCCCCACGACCCACAAAAAACAAAACAAAACAAAAAACTGATGATTTATAGGGAGATGTTCTCACTGAAAATACCTAGCTACTGAAGTAAAATATGTGAATTCATAATACATAAAATGTATTCATATTTTTTCAAATAATTCTGTTAAAAATTAAACATGCGGATGGGTGCTGTTACCTCACACCTGAAATCCTAGCTACTCAGGAGGCTGAGATCTGAGGATCACGGTTCAAAGCCAGCCTGGGCAGGAAAGTCTGTGAGACTCTTATCTCCAAAAACCAGCAGAAAATTGGAAGTGGCACAGTGGCTCAAGTAGTAGAGCACTTGCCTTGAGCTGAAGAGCTCATGGACAGCACCCAGGCCCAGAGTTCAAGCCCCACAACCGAAAAAAAAGAAAAAGAAAGTTAAACCTATGCAAGGGGTTATTCGATACATTTTAGGTTTTAACAGTACACAACCTATAGTTAGAGGTTAAGGATGAAAATAAAATAAGATGACTCTGAATCTGAGGTCTCACAGTGAATATTTTAGGCATGTGGCCCACAGTCCATGGCAGCCTCACAGCTCTCTGCCGGGGCTGAGTATGTGGCTTAGTGGTAGAGTGCTTGCCTATCATGAATGAAGCCCCAGGTTCAATTCCTCAGTATAACATAAACAGAAAAAGCTGGAAGTGGTGGCATGGCTCAAGTGGTAGTGTGCTAGCCTTGAGGAAAAGAAGCTCAGGGGCAGTACTCAAACCCTGAGTTTAAGCCCCAGGACTGGCCACAACCCCCCAAAAAACAGTAGCTATAGACAGTATATAAACAGGTGGTGGTATTCTAAAAAGAACTCAGTCATAGCAGGCACTGGTGGCTTATGCCTGTAATCCTAGCTACTCAGGAGGCTGAGATCTGAGGATCGCGGTTCAAAGCCAGCCAGGGCAGCAAAGTCCATGAGACTCTTATCTCTAATTAACCACCAGAAAACCAGAGGTGGCACTGTGGCTCAAGTGTTACAAGTCTTGAGAACAAAAACCCAGGGACAACACCCAGGCCCAGAGTTCAAGCCTTAAAGACTGGCACACACACAGAAAAGCATATGTTAACTCTGCCATACAGGATCTTCCCAGAGAAGCTTTTATATTCCAAAGGAATCATGGCCATGAAGTGACAACAGGACAGTTCACCTGATAAGTTTTGAAAAACTCAAGTTCATGAGCTCATAAAGGAGGCTTTCAAGTAATCACATAAAACCTATAGCTTTTTAGTGCCATCAATCATCCATCCAAAACAAAATCCTCAGGTATCTGAATACCAGTCAGACAATATATACCATGACAAGGCTGATAAGGAAGTGAGTGTCCACGCTACTTACCTGTACAATATGACGTATTCATGCCCTTGTTTTCTGGATAGTCTGTAGGCTGGTGTCACCCTAGTTATAGCAAGAAGAGACTTCAGCAGCAGTGACAGTCTGTTATAGACTGTGTAAGAAACTTTGATTTCTTTATCACACCTGAGGAGCACAAGACACCATTAGCATCTTCTATAAAGTGCTAGAACTATAAGAAGTTATTATTAAAGAATATTCTTAATTAAGGGTACAACTATGTAAAAGTTCTGTCAATATGTTGTTGAAGTTAGCCAAGCTTTTATACAGCGGAGAACCAAAAATCACCCAAGGTTTTTTCTAGGCATCCCCACCCCCCCCCCTCAGTATTGTGAATCAAATCCAGAGTCTTGCAATTGCTAGGGAAGTGCTTTACCACTTTTTTTCTAGTTTTTAAGTAAGTATCTTTCTAGGAAACTAAGGAGCACACTTAAAAACAATTACTCAATATTGCAATTATATATTCTTAAGAAGTTGAAATATTTCAGTTACTAGCTTTATTTATTTTTGGTGCCAGTCCTGGGATTTGAACTCAGGGCCTAGGTGCTTCCCCTAAGCTTCTGTGCTTGAGGCTAGTGCTCTACCACTTGAGCCACAGCTCTACTTCCAGCTTTCGAAGATGAGTCTCACGGAGTTTACTGTGCAAGCTGGCTTTGAACCATGATCCTCAGTTCTCAGCCTCTTGATTAGTTAAGATTACAGGCTTGAGCCACTGGTGCCTGACCTAAGGACTCCCATTTAGAGTGAGAGTCATTTTCTGCCCAGGTTGGCTTGGAACTTTGATTATTGGACCTTAGCCTTTTGAGAAGCTAGGATTACAGGATAAGCCATTAGCACCTGGCTTAGCATACATTCTCAAGGTACTGTTTTAGGATCTATTTCTTTCTGTCTATATAGAAACAGAAATAATTTTATCCAGGAAATTTGGAGGAGTCTGTTTGGACCATAACTTGGCTTATTTTCTATTTAAGAAAAAATAAGAGGCTGGAGGCCCAGCTGCCTAACAATAGTAAGCATTTGAGTTCAATCCTTAGTACCAACCAAAAAATAAACAAACATGACTCTGGATGCTGGTGGCTCACACCTGTAATCCAGCTAATCAGGATGCTGAGATCTGAGGCTTACAGTTGGAAGCCAGCCTGGGCAAGAAAAATCCCTGAGACTATTATCTCCTATTAATCACACACACACACACACACACACACACACACACACACAACTTTAGCAAAAGAGCTCATAGCCAGGTGCCAGTGGCTCACACCTGAAATCCTAGCTACTCAGGAGGCTGAGATCTGAGGATCACGGTTCAAAGCCAGCTCAGGCAGGAAAGTCCGTGAAACTCTTATCTCCAATTAACCATCAGAAAACTGCAAGTGGCACTGTGGCTCAAGTGGCAGAGTGCTTGCCTTGAGCTGAAGAGCTGAGTGACAGTGCCCAGGCCCAGAGTTAAAGCCCCAAAACTGACTTAAAAAAAAGAGAGAGAGAGAGAGAACATGGACAACACACAGGCCCCAAGTTCAAAACCCATGTCTGACACTGACACATACACTAATGGCCATATCACACATAGTAATCACTAAGAATTTTCTTTTGATGGATTGGTATTTTCTCAATATTCCTGTCTATAGCTTTTGAAAGCTGAAGCTTAAACAGTAGCTAAGCTAATCTCTGTTAAAGAAGAAAATGGGGGAGGGAGATAATATGCATTAATACACAATCAACCCAGTGTGTAAAAAGAGCAGTGTGGGGAAATCTTGCTGGATAGCAGCAACACAGAAAGCAGACAAAGTAGTGTAGTCATGTTACAGGAGCTCATGAGGGATTTAATCAGAGAACTTGCTGTTCTCTGGGAAAACAACAAAATCCTTTACAGCTTCTGCTGCTCCTTTCCTGGTGCTGTGTGAGTCTCTGGACTGTCTCTGAAGGTCATCTCTATGCCTAGGATGGAAGCCAAGCCTGAAGCACTCTGTAGCAAAGACCTACCGGCTTTGCTGAGTGGTCTGGATGCCTTTGGTGACTGAAAACAAAGCCCTGCTTTCACATGATATCATCTGCTTTATCTGCAAATACCACCAACCACAGGGCCTGAGACAAAAGCACTTACTTTTCATTCATTTCAAGACACCAAATTTCCAGCTCCATAGAATCTCCCTGTAGATGGGACAAGGGGAAACCATTTCAGTTTTTTAACTATTTTTTTAAATTATAAAGTACTACATAATCACTAGAAAGGATTGGAAGGTACAGATAGGCAAACAGATTAAAAACCATTTAGCCAGCTATTTTTCTATTTATTTTGGAGTGCTAGGGTACTGGGATCTGAATTTAGGACCTTATACTTGTGAGGAAGGTACTCTACACCGCCCCCTCACCACCCCAACCCCAAAAGCTACACTTCTAAAAAAGTTGGATTTGCTACATGTCACTTTTCTTTTCTTTTTTCTTTTTTTTTTGGTCAGTCATCAGCTTGAACTCCTGGCCTGGGCACTGTCCCTGAGTTCTTTCATTCAAAGCTAGTGCTCTACTACCAGAACCACAGTGCTACTTCCGGTGTTCTAGTGGTTAACTGGAGATATAAGTCATAGACTTTCCTGCCCAGGCTGTCTTCGAACTGCCAGCCTTAGATCTCAGCCTCCTGAGTAACTAGGATTACAGTGTAAGTCATTGGTACCCAACTTTATTTTTTCTTAATACCTAGGGCCAGGTGCTGGAATGTAGCACAGTGACAAAGAGCTTGCTTGCCCAGCAAGTGTAATATCCTGAGTTTGATTCCAGTACAAAAATAATATATATACAATTTTTTTTTTTGTCGGTCATGGGGCTTGAACTCTGGGCCTGGGCACTGTCCCTCAGCTCTTCAGCTCAAGGCGAGCGCTCTACCACTTGAGCGACAGCGCCACTTCCGGTTTTCTGGTGGTTTATTAGAAATAGGAGTCTCACAGTCTTTCCTACCTGGGCTGGCTTTGAACCGCGATCCTCAGATCTCAGCCTCCTGAGTAGCTAGGTTTATAGGCATGAGCCACCAGCGCCCGGCCCATATATACAATTTTTAAAAAATAAACAAAAAATAACACCTAGGGCTGGACAGGACAGTCCATGAGACTCTTATTCCCAATTAATCACAAAAACATCCATGACTCATATGGTAGAGTGCTAGCTTTGAGCAAAAAGAACTCAGGGATAGTGCCCAGGCCCAGAGTTCAAGCCACGGGACTGGCAAATACTACTACTACTACTACTACTACTACTACTACTGCTACTATTAGTAATGATAACAATAATAATACTTAGGCACCTGCCTACTAAGTTCAAAACAAGCCAGCACCCAGTGGCTCACACCTGTAATCGTAGCTATTTAAGAGGCAGAGATCTGAGGATCTTGGTTCAAAGTCAGGGTAGTCTAATAAATCAAAGAAACTTTTTTTTTTTTTATCAGTGGTGGGGCCTGGGCACCGTCCCTTAGCTCTTCCGCTCAAGACTAGCGCTCTACCACTTGAGCCACAGCACCACTCCCGGCCTTTTCTGTTTATGTGATGCTGAGGAATCAAACCCAGGACCTCATGCATGCAAGGCAAGCACTCTACCATTAAGCCACCTTCCCAGCCCCCAAAAAACTCTTATCTTTAATTCACCAATAAAAAATCTGGATGTGGAGGTATGGCTCAAGTGGTAGAGCAACAGCCTTAAGCAAAAAAGTTAAAGGAGAAGAACACAAAGTCTTGAGTTCAGGCCCCGGTAGGGCACAAAAAGAAAAAAAAAAACAGCAAAAAATCTTGGTGTTTTCCTGATGAAAATAATGCATCTCTTTTGTTTTCTGCAGTTCCAAAGATCAAATCCAGTACTTTGAGTGTGCTAGACAAACACTGTAATATGAAGCTACATCTCCAATACCCCCAAATTCTTTATCACTATAACACAGTACTCTACACTATGACTATCATTTTATCTAACCAGTCTCCCTATCGTGGACTATACAATGGACTTACGTTTCTTTTCTCTTTTTTTTTTTGTTTTGTTTTTTGCTTTTGGTGTTAGCACTTGAGCTTGAACTCAAAGGCTCTTGTCCTTGGTTCAGCTTTTTATGCTCTTGGCCACTTGAACCACAGCTCTAGTTAAGAAGTTAACATTGTACACACATATACAATTTCCTTAGGCAAATTTCCATTGGTTCAGAGAATATAAACAAGATTTTTCCTTTTTCATTTTTGCAGTTCTAGGGTGAAATCCCTGGGTCTTGCTCATCCTGGGGCTTAAACTCAGGGCCTTAAGCTTTTTTTTTTTTTTTTTGGTGGGGCTTGAACTCTGGGCTTCGGTGCTGTTCTTCCACTCTTCAGCTCAAGATAAGCGCTCTACCACTTGAGCCACAGTGCTACTTCCGGTTTTCTAGTGGTTTACTGGAGATAAGAGTCTCACAGACTTTCCTGCCCCAGCTGGCTTTGAACCATGATCCTCAGATCTCAGCCTTCTGAGTAGCTAAGATGACAGGTGTGAGCCACTGGCGCCCGGCTCCTTAAGCTTTTTTTTGCTCAAGGCTAGTGTTCTATCATTAAGCCACAGCTATATTTTCGGCTTTTTGTTGATTAATTGGAGACAAGAGTCTCACAGACTTTCCTGTCTGGTCTGACTTTGAACTGTGATCCTCAGATCTCAGTCTCCTTAAACACCAGTGTCCAGCTTTAGCCCTAAACCTTTTATTTTATTGTAAAGGTGATATACAGAGCCTAAAGCTATTTTTCCAAAATAACTTCAGAAAAGCTGAAAATTTTAAAGTAATGGAAAGAGCCTTTCCCTTCAATTCTATAGGGGAATTTTTAGGTAGCAGCCACATTTTAAGAACACTTGCTCTTTTTCCTTTTCTTTTTTTTTTTGTCAGTCGTGAGGCTTGAACTTTGGGCCTGAGAGCACTGTCCCTCAGCTCTTCAGCTCAAGGCAAGCACTCTACCACTTGAGCCACACGCCACTTCCGGTTTTCTGGTGGTTTATTGGAGATGAGTCTTCCAGCCTTTCCTACCTGAGCTGGCTTTGAACCACGATTCTCAGATCTCAGCCTCCTGACTGAGTAGCTAGGATTACAGGTGTGAGCCACCAGTGCCCCACACAATTGCTCTTTAAACTTAAAAATCTAGTTGTCTGATAGCTTTAGACAACCTCTATGTATTAGTCCTAACACTTCCTTGGTTGGAGGGAAAGAAATGCATAAGGCCAAGCTCACTCAACCTTGTGACACTTCTGTGTGTGAGTGAGAAAGATAATCACATCCCTTTGGACACAGTAACCTTTTTACTAATCATTCAGGTGTGGGAATGAGTTTGGGTTAGTTTATGAAACTAATCTGACCTGGAAATTTTGTTATAGGTCAAATTTACATTGCGTATCCTTAGTATCTATCCTTATCACATTTTAAGTTTTTGTTTCTTTTCTTTTTCTTTTTTGTCAGTTGTGGGGCTTGGACTCTGGGCCTGAAAACTGTCCTTGAGCTCTTCGGCTCAAGGCTAGAGCTTTACCACTGGAGCCACAGTGCCACTTCTAGGTTAAGAATCTAGCCTGTAATCCTAGCTATTCAGGAGGCTGAGATCTGAGGATGCAGGTTCAAACCCAGCCCGGGCAGGAACGTCTGTGAGACTCTTATCTCCAATAAACCACCAGAAAACCGGAAGTGGCCCTGTGGCTCAAGTGGTAGGGCCCTAGCCTTGAGCTGAAGAGCTGAGGGGCAGAGTCCAGGCCCATAGTTCAAGCCCAATGACCAACAACAACAAAAAAGAATCTCACGGACTTTTCATGCCCAGGCTGGCTTTAAGTGAGATCCTCAGATCTCAGCCTCCTGAATAGCTTGGATTATAGGCGTAAGCCATGGGTGTCCAGCAAGTTTTTGTTTCTTGAGATAGAGCTCAGTATATTGCTCAGGTTGGCCTTCAACTCCTGGACTCCAGAATGAGGGTGTCTGGAGGACTGGCTCACTCATTCTCCCATGTAGTTGGGACAACTGAGTTTTGTCCATGCCTAAACTGCACTGCCTCAAGAAAAATACTGTGTTATTTTAAAATAATACAGTAAGTTTCAAAATTCTCCCCCCCCCAAAAAAATAAGGGACAAATAAATACTGGAGAGTATCTACAAGTTGATGTTGTTTTTCTAGAATAATCAGAACTATTTATAATCAGGTTTCCCAGATGCTCATAAAAGGAGAGTTCTTCCACAGATTCCTTTTAGACACTCTGAATCACTAAACGAAATAACTCATTGTAGAAACTTGCAATTCACTAAAGGACTTTTGTTTTATTGGATGTTAGGGTTTCCACAGGAAAAAAAATTGAAACCATTCATTCAATAAAATTCTTGAAAGAGTACTACATGCTATTCTAGGCACAAGGCTGGCTCCTGAGGAAACAGAAGTGGTTGTATATCTAAATGCTACCTAATTTCAAAAAGAACTTGAGAAATACATAATGGTATATAAGAATATGACAGCTGCTGATCTTAACTAGGAAAATAGAGCATGAACATAAACATGTACTAACTACCAACTACAATTTACCCTAAGAATTTTACAAATAAAGATTAAAGCCAGGGTTGGGATGGTGGCTCAGTGGTAGAGGTCCTCGGTTCAATTCCTCAGCACCACATAAGCATAAAAAGCTGTAAGTGGCACTATGGCTCAAGCGGTAGAGCGCTCACCTTGAGCTGAAGAGCTGAGGGACAGTGCCCAGGCCCAGAATTCAAGCCCCACAACCAACAACAACAACAACAACAAAAGGAGTGCAAATAAGAGGATCATGGTCCAGGCCATACTAGGCAACAAGACCCTAACTAAAAAATAAAGATACCAAAAAGGGATGGAGGCATAGCTCAAGTAGAATACCTACCTAACAAGTACAAGGCCTTGAGTTCAAACTCCAGTATCACCAAAAGCAAAAACAACTAAATCATACATCAGGTCTCAGTAGAAAAGAGCATGTATGAGGCCCTGGGTTTATCTTTGATACTGCAAAGCATAAACAAAAACAAAAACAGGGCTGGGAAGGTGGCTCAGTGGTAGAGCGCTTGCCTTGCATACATAAGGCCCTGGGTTTGATTCCTCAGCATCACTTAAGCAGAAAAAGCCCGAAGTGGCACTGTGGCTCAAATGGTAGAACGTTAGCTTTGAACTGAAGAGCTGAGGGACAGCACCCAGGCCCAGAGTTCAGGGCCCATGACTGACAAAAACAACAACAACAAAAAAAAACAGTTCTTCCTGTGATGGTTCATTACTCAGTCTCTGATTTTTCCTATTCTTTTTGCTGCAAACAAGGTTTCCCTATGTAGAACAGGCTAGCCTCAAAACTTGTTATGTAGCCTGTCTTGGAACTTTCAAATTCCTGCCTCATACTCCTAAGTGCTGGGATTACAAGTGTATGCTACTACTACCTCACCCAGGATTCACTGGGTATATAGTTAAAATCAGGAAATGACATGGAAATAAGTTCAGCACAAATCAAATGCAAATAAAAGTAAAAACTGAAGTGTTGTCAGACACCAGTGGCCCATGCCTATAATCTTAGCTACTCAGGAGGGTGAGATCTAAGAATCATGGTTTGAAGCCAGCCCAAGCTGGAAACTACATGCAACACTTATCCACAATTAACCACCAGAAAGCAAGGAGCGGACCTGTGGCTCAAATGGTAGAGCTTTAGCCTTGAGTGGAAAAAGCTAAGGAAAAGTGCCCATGTAAATTCAAGCCCCATTACGTACACAAACAAAACAAAAACTGGTGTCATGTCACTAGAGAGCATAAGGTTAAGTCATTTGATTAAAGTGATTCAGCAGGGATCTGACCTCTCCTTACATAGCCCTAAAGTCCATTTGCCTTATATTATACCATCCAAGTTTACAATCTATTAGTCAAAATAGATTAATAGGCATGCTAGTAGCCAGGTACAGTGGCTCATACCCTGTAATCCTAGCTATGTGGGAAGCAAAAATCTGTAAAACCAAGGTTTTTGAGGCCAATCCAGGCAAAAAGTTTGAGAGATCATATCTGAACTAATTAAAAGCTGACTTCAAACTGCAATCCTCAGGTCTCAGCTTCCTGAGGGACTAGGATTATAGATGTAAGCCACTGGAACCTAGGTAAACAAAAATTTCTTAAAAAAAAAAGAAAAGCAAAAAAAGCCTCATAATACAGCAAGATTTCTAGAAAAATAAAACTATAAACCAAGTATCATAGGAAGTCTCAATAGCAGCAGTTACCTCTGCTTCTAAAAGAAGGAGATTTTCAAGAACACATGAATTAAAGAATGAGTGGAAATATGTTTTATAAAGCAGGAGGTAAGGAGACTATTTTACATTGCTGGAGCTGGGAACAGTGTTTGCCTGCATACTTGAGGCCCTGGGATCACTCGGCAACATTCCAACACTAACAATCTACCCCTGATACTTTCAGAAAATGATGAGCAGTCTGGAGCAGGAAGGACCAGGAAAAAGACTAAGAAAAGAGTTGGAACTAAAGAGTGCAGAGGCTTGAGTGCCATGTGTGAACATAGTTCTGGCTATAACCATACCTCAGAAGTCTTGAGTGAGATCTCCACACACATAGAGCGCCCAACCGCAGGCAGCTGCCCTGCCAATGCCTTCTTTGCTTCATGTGTTACTTCTGGGATGTCTTTGATTGCTAAGTTAAACTAGAAAGAAAAAAAGAGAAAACTTCTGGGTGAAACTCTCTCGAGAAACATGTAACTATATGGTAATATATGTTGAGTGAACAAGAATAGCTTTGGCTGATAACAGGAAATACTTCTCCGTCCCCATAAAATAGTTTAATCCAAGCCCCAAGTCTCAAGTTGAAAGATTGATTATCTATTACAAAGAGTATGTAACTATGGGCTGGGAAGGTGGCTCAGTGGTAGAATGCTTGCCTTGCATGCATGAGGCCCTGGGTTCAATTCCTCAGCACCACATAAGCAGAAAAAGCCGGAAGTGGCTCTATGGCTTAAGTGGTAGAGTGCTAGCCTTGATCTGAAGAGCTGAGGGACAGCGCCCAGGCCCAAGAAAAAAGAAAAAGAAAAAAAAAAAAAGAGTACGTAACAAGACACTATTTTTGTTTTCTAGGGACAAAACTGTGTATCTGTCACAGCAGAAAAGTTAAGTACCAAATAAATTCAGGGCTAATTTTAGTAAGAAATATATCCAAGTTAAATAGAATTCACTATTTTGATGTTATAATTTAGGAATTCTGTAAGTAGTATGCCTTATTGTTGCACTGAAGAACTTTCCATTAATTTCTTGTGATAAATACTACAGTATATACCCATCAGCAAAGAAGAGGCATTTTACCCAATCTGAACCCGTTGGGGAAGAAGATGAACGAGTGCAAATCTTTTCACCAAGTCGAGCCTGGACAATCACTTGGACAGTCTGAAAACAGAAGAAAATAGATGAAATGTCAGGCTGGAGATGCAGCACATGATCGTGGCTTACACAGGAAAGAACAGAACTTTAAATACAGCAGACTGGGGGAAAAAAGCAACAAACAAATGAAAAACCACAAGACACACACAAAAAAAATAGTATGAGAAGTGTTCCCAAGTGTAGGGTCAACCAGTAAGAGGAAGTAGAGTTTGAGCTCGGAACCTACAATAGTCCCACATGGCAGAAAGAAAACTGCACATGATCGCTAAGCTGTTCACAAGGAAATAAGTCCAACTGTGGGTATAAATATTCAGTCACAAGCTCATGTTATCATAGTAGATCTAAAACAAGAATTCTACAATTATTCATATAGCTTAGCCCATATGGCAAAAGTCTTCCCACATAATTTTTCAACCAGAACGGACACAGCACGTATAGTTCTGGCATGGCAACTGTTGAGAGAAAAAAGTGATGCAGGTAGAAGTGAACTGCAGATTTCAAAAAACAACTTTCAAAATTCAGTTTTAATTCTGTTTATGAGGAAGTCAACAATAAATGAAAGTTGGACATTTTGGTGCTGTTTGAAACTCAGGGAAGGATGCCCAAAATGCTGCCCATTCCAATTTAGTCTTTTGTTCTTATCCCAAGGGAACAAAATGTGCCAGTTACATGGCATAACAATTTGACATTTCTACCGAAAGCCTTGCAAAAAAATTTTGACCAAGTAAATGCAGAAAACTAGAAGCTACTTTTTAGTCACACCCCCAATGCCACCTTCATACTTGACAGTTTAGTTTACCACAGATAGAAGTCTCCTGAAACAGGCAAGCTACAAGCTGTTATGCTACATATCCAAAGAGGGCTCTCTAAAGAGAGAAGCAGGGGAGTCAGTTCTTACAGGTCTTAGTTCAAGAGAGTGGATTTATTACCTTGAGGGCAAAAAATTTAATAAACTTGTCCAGGTCCTTTCTGTCCTGGGAATTGAGATCAGTTTCCATTGCCTATAGGAATCTACAAGAGAAGAAAAAAGGAGTGATAGAAAAGGTGATTAATACCTTTAAAAAGGAACTGTATATAGGAACTAGTAACAGATGATACTGATTCTGAAACTTTGATCTTTAAATATGTAACTTACCTATCACAGTTTTATTACTCCAGTTTTATTAAAACTAGAATTCAAGTTTTAATAAGATAAAAACCTTTATTAAAGCAACATAAATGAGTTAATTTAATACTAATTCCAAAGTCCATTGAGTCAATTTCTCTTTGGAGAGTTTGAGGCCCCTTCTGAAAAATTGTTGACTAGAAACATCTTTTCTCAAAAAAATGTATACATATGAGAATGCTTACATGTAATTTCCAGGAGCCTCATGGATTTTTTTTTTGGGGGGGGGTTTTGGTCGTGGGGCCTGAACTCTAGGCCTGGGCGCTGTCCCGCAGCTCTTCAGCTCAATGCTAGCACTCTACTACTTGAGCCACAGCGCCACTTCGGGCTTTTTTCTTTTTGCTTATGTAGTGTATGTAGTGCTAAGGAATCGAACCCAGGGCCTCAGGCATGCAAGGCAAGCGCTCTACCACTGAGCCACCTTCCCAACCCAGTCTCATGGATTTTTGAGAAGCATTTATTACCTATCTTCCAGAGCAAAATGGGCTGATGATGAGGAATAAAACATTTAAGGACATAAGAGCATGAAGAGAGAGGTTTAAGTAAGAGAGAACTAAATGGGCATAAAAATACCAATATTCCATTTTTCCAGCAGTCTGTATGGGCACAGGGAAGCAGTATGGCTGTTTAGGACCATATCAGTTGTGAAAAAGCTAGAGCCAGAGACCCAGCCTACTCAAGGCTTTGAAGAAGGAAAGATAGCTTTTCTGGCATAATGTGCAACAGTTTTGCAGTAAGACAGACAGGGAAACCAGCTAAGTCCTTGGCAGTAACTCAGGCTTGAAGTTTAAGCTAAAACTAACAGCAGACATGAATAGGAAACAGTTCAGAGACATTTTGAAGAAAGAGATAAAGGGGTGCTAGTGTTTTAAATCTGTATAACTGAGAAGTTTAGTACAGTTTCATTTAACAACAAATAAGTGCATTTCTGTATCTCTCTATCTTATGTATAAATTGTTTCTCCCAGATGAGTTTGTTAGTCTTTTTTTTTTTTTCATTGCCAGTACTGAAGTTTGATTTCTGGGCCTTGTACTTGCTTGGCTTTTTTGCTTGGCTGGAGCTCTACTCCTTGAGCCATGCCTCTAGGCCTGACATTTGGGTGTTTTCTTCTTTTTCTTTTCTTGGTGCTGGTCCTGGTGCTTGAACTCTGGGTTTGGGTGCTGTCTCTGAATGTTTGTGCTCAAGGCTAACACTCCACACTTGAGCCACAGCTCCACTTCTGGCTTTTGGGTATTTAAGAAGATAAGAGTGTCATAGACTTTCCTGCCCAGGGTGGCTTCAAACTGCAATCCTCAGATCTCAGCCTTCTGTGTAGCTATAGTGTGAGCCAGCAGTGCTCAGCTCCACCTATTTGTTTTTAATGAGCGATTGACAAATATAGAACTTAGTCCAAAACCCAATACAACCAGTCCATCAAGTGAACTAGCACCTCCTGTAAGTAGGCAAAAAAGACAACCCACTGCCCATAGAAACGAGTCAAGTAAGTCAGATTTCTCTAGTAACCAATACAGGCAGCATAAAAGAACCACTGTGGGGCTGGGAAGGTGGTTCAGTGGTAGAGCGCTTGTCTTGCATGCATGAGGCCCTGGGTTCGATTCCCCAGCACCACATAAGCGAAAAGAAAAAGAGCCGGAAGTGGCGCTGTGGCTCAAGTAGTAGAGCGCTAGCCTTGAGCTGAAGAGCTGAGGGACAGGGCCCAGGCCCAGAGTTCAGGCCCCATGACTGGAACCAAAAATAAATAAATAAAATAAATGAACCAATGTAACAATTGGCCCAATCAGATAGAATTCAGTTACCACTTCCAACCAGATTAAGCCAGATATGGTTAGGTTAGCTTGTGTACAGCTTTCTCAGACCAAAATCTCTAATCTAGAAATATCTAAAACATTCCCTTTTTTCCAAACTGAAGTTATCTTGTCCTTTTGTCTCTAGTCTCTGTCAGATGCAACTGATGATAGCTGATCTGATTCTCTTGCCTTTTTTTGGGGGGGGGGGGGCGTCCGGTCGTGGGACCTGAACTCTGGGCCTGGGTGTTGTCCCTCAGCTCTTCAGCTCAAGATTAGTGCTCTATCACTTGAGCCACAGCTTTTTTCTTTTTTCTTATGTGGTGCTGAGGAATCGAACCCAGGGCCTCAGGCATGCAAGGCAAGCGCTCTACCATTTGGCCATCTTCCCAGCCCCTTGTCTTGCTTTTAATAACCTTTGCCTATTCTTTTTTTTTTGTCAGTCCTGGGCCTTGAATTCTGAGCCTAAGCGCTGTCCCTTAGCTCTTCAGCTCAAGACTAGTTAGCTCTACCACTTGAGCTAGAGTGCCACTTCTGGTTTTCTGATGGAGATAAGAGTTTCCCGGGCTGGCTTTGAACCGTGATCCTCAGATCTCAGCCTCCTGAGTAGCTAGGATTACCGTGAGACTCCTATCTCCAATAAACCACCAGAAAACCGGAAGTGGTGCTGTAGCTCAAGTGGTAGAGCGCCCGCCTTGAGCTGAAGAGCTGAGGGACAGTGCCCAGGCCCAGAGTTCAAGCCCCAAGGCCGACCAAAAAAAAAAAAGTATCATTTTATGCACTAACAGTACACTACCTGAAAAAGAAAACAAACTAGGTGCTAGTGTCTCACACGTGTAATCCTAGCTATTCAGGTTGAGATTTGAGGATGGCAGTTCAAAGCCACTCTGAGCAGGAAAGTCCCTAAGACTTTCATCTCCAATTAAATATCAAAAAGCTCAAATAGTAGAGTCATCTCTGAGTGAAAAACCTAGGGGACAGGGCTAAGGCACTGAGTTAAAATCCGAGTGCCAGCCGGGCGCTGGTGGCTCACGCCTGTAATCCTAGCTACTCAGGAGGCTGAGATCTGAGGATCATGGTTCAAAGCCAGCCCGGGAAGGAGAGACCGTGAGATTCCTATCTCCAATAAACCACCAGAATACGGGAAGTGGGGCTGTGGCTCAAGTGGTAGAGCGCTCACCTTGAGCTGAAGAGCTGAAGGACAGCGCCCAGGCCCAGAGTTCAAGCCCCACGACTGA